CAGTTCTTTTGTTGTTGTTCTTGCTGTTGTTGTTTATGTTTGTGCCCTTTATGTGTTTGTTATATGTTTTTCTTTGACAGATTTTAAGATCATCTCTTCTCCATTGATTATGAACAATCAAATTATGATTGCCTGTGGTATATTTGTGTGTGTGTGTGTGTGTGTGTGTGTGTGTGTTTCTCAGAGTTTATTAAACTTCTCATTTCTGTGTGTTTACATTTTTCCTTTAATTTGAACAATATGCAGTCATTTTCTCTTCAGATATGTGTAGCATCCCCCCTTACTCTTTCTCTTCTTTTAGTACTCCAATTAAAATTAGGATAGACCAATTCTGTCCAGTTAGTGGTGCCCCACAGGTCTCTGAACTTCTCGTTATTTTTATTTCTTCATTTTTCATCCTTTTCCCCACTCTGAGTTTGTGTAGTTTCCAATGTACAGTGGCCATTTTCTTTGTGATGTCTAATCTATAGCATTTTCTTTATTTCAGAGTTGTGGTTTTCAGCTTTTGAATTTCCATATCTTCATTGGAAGGTCCCTATTGATACTTTCCATTTGCTGTTCACAATGTTCATGGTTTTTTAAAAAATTGAACAAATACATTTAGAATACTCATTTTTAAGTGTTTATCTGATAATTCCACCATTTTTGTCAAGTCTTGTTCTGTTTTGATTAGCTATCTATTTATTAGCTAATATGGACCTTTTTAAACTAGCTTTTTAAAAATCATATGCTGGATATTATAGATGTTACAATATTGAGTTCTGAATTTCATAAGAGTGTTAAATTTTGTTCTAGCAGGAAATTAATTGACTTGCATAATTGCTTGCTTTTTAAAAAGCATCTTATCTTTGTTAAAGTAGGTCTGAGATAGCCTTTTCTGTAGGACTAGATTGGACTTACTTCTAAAGCATGTCATATCTGGAGTCTCTAATTAATATTGGGGAGTTAAACAAAATCTCTTCACTCTGAGTGGGCTGTATTCAACTGTCTCCCAGCCCTTCATATGTTCTCCTGAGTTGTTCTGTTCCCAGCTATTCTTTGCCTAACCTTTAAATATATTCCCTGAAATATATGTAGCTTTGTATTTGGCCAAAGACTCAAGGTAATCCTGTGCAGATTTCTAGAATTCCCTCTCTATCTGTATAGCTGTCTTCTCTGTAAATGCAGTTTGACTCAACAGCAGTCTTGAACTCCAGTTTCTGTCTTCTTAGCTCAGTCAGACCATTTCTTTTTTTTGGCTTTCCCCTTTTTGTGCGACAGTTTAAAAGGTGCCTTTAGTCAAAAAGCCGGAGTGATCAGAGGATTTACCATTTTTTGTCTTTTTCTCTCACAGATGACATTCCTGTGTTACCAGTTGTCCAACATTTTACAAATTGTTTTTTTAGGTATGGAAGGAGAGCTAGTCCAGTATTAGTTACTCCTCTAAGAAGAGAAGCTGAAGTCCAAAATGTGCAAGTTTTAACACACTATAGTAGCCAAATCAATAATGTCTGGTAGTCAATTGAGTCATAGATCTCTGCTTTATCATAATTTTAATAAAACATTCTCTTTGTTTACAACTCAGTAAAATGGTCACTATCACAGTTCCAAAAATTATCAGTCAGTCCGAACAATTTAGCACAGAGTAGCCATGGGTTCTGTGGTAGGGAACACTTGGAAGTACAAACAGTTGGCATTTAGTTGGGACATGAAATGGATAGCAGGGCTCCAACTGCAATAGTAAAGATGATGGAAATAACTCCGATTTCCTATGAGAAACATGATTGTAGAGCAAAAACGCAAAACAGAAAATACCAAGAACTAAGGTATTGACCTGTTTTAACCAAGGGTGGTTACCTGGAAATTTGGGTTTTGAAGCCAGTTATTTACGTTGAACTACAAAAAAAAAGATGGAGGAAATTCTGATTCAAGGAGTAAAAACAAGCAAGTAGCTAAATTTGGCTGCATCCTGAATCAGATTATTAGTAAAATCAATGAGGGAAGGAGTTTAGGAGTCCAATTTGGTCATATCGCATCATGCCTTTCCGATTGGAAATTCTTTAGTCTGGGATTGCATCAGAGTGAAATCTTTATGTTAAAACACCTGGCAATCTAGCTAGGCAGTCAGCAGATGTAGTCTGAGGGTCACTCTTTCCCTATAAGCCAGCACTGCTTTACGTGAAAGCCTTGTAGAGAACTTCTGGCATGTGACTTAAGCTATTTAGAAAACCCAGCTTAGTAGTTGATTTATTTTAAGAATTCAATTCATTAAGTAGCATTACTGACTCCTTTTTATCAAGATAGCTCTACAAAATACAATCTGTAAATATGACACATGTGATCGTATGACACAAAACAGAATTAAAATGCCCCATTAGAAATAAAATGGACAGTAGTAAAACAAATGGGGCAGAGGGAAATTTATGAGGGTAATTGATCTCTTGGTCATTAAGCAAGCTCTCTATTGGCATTTTTGAAAAATCCATTTCAGGTAAGTGCAGCCAATGACAGCCTCCACCCCCTTTGCAAAATGTTCATCCAGAGAGAGCCAAAACAACTGAGCAAATAATGAAAATAACAGTGGAAATTACCCTATTGTACTGTTAACATAACATATTCAGAAATACTAAGGACACAGTGATTTTCATGCCAGCTACTCAAATCGATCTTAGTAAATTTTCAGCAACTGCACTAACATGGCTTCTGGAATTTATGATGGAGTTTTCTTATTTTAAGGCACCATTATTCATGGAAGGAGCACCAGAGTACCCGATGATAATTTTACACTGCTAAGTCCCAGGCTACACCTGTGGCAGGATTAATATCCCCAGTTTAGGATAATAAAATCAAAACCCTATGATTTGCCCTTTAATAAGAGAACTTCAGACTCAGCTCCAGGCTGCTTACTGTTTTCTGCTTTGAATAGATAACCTTTTTAAAAAGTGATTTCCTGGATGTGAGGGTGACCTGGCTGCAACATCTGTCATCCCATTAATCAGTGTCCCCTTCCTGCCTCACCGCTCTATGTGACTGCTTCCTGAAGCTGCATGCTCAGTGGAAGAGGACGACCATCCCCAATAGAGGGGGACTGGTTTTTGACCAAGGGTACACAAAGTAGCTGTCCCCACTGCTAGAACCTCCAAACAAGCTCTCAAGGTTCATAAAAGTGATTTTATTCCACTGTTGTGTGATCAATAATTGAGCTTCATCGTGGTGGTGTTCAGAGATCCCTGCACTTTGGAGTCAGGGAGCCTCTATTAGCAGTCCCAGCTTTGAACGAGATTCTTTTAAGCTGTGTCTCAGCAAATACTTAACATCTGCAATGTTCTAGGTGCTTACAGAAGCCTTCCCTCACTACCTTATGCAATACACCTCTCTTGCTCCAATCCCACTCTTCAAACACCTCTGTCACATTAGCATGGTTTATTTCCCTTATAGCACTAACCACTATTTAAAATTAACCAGCTGATTTATTTATTTATATATTTACTTCCCTGAATTAAAACATTAGACACAAAAGGGGAGAGACACTTTCTATCTTACTTACCATTCCCCAAAAGCTTCTGGCAAATGGTAGATATCAATAAATAATAATCAGATTGACTGATACATAATTTAAGCCCCTCCAGCTTCAGATCCAGCAAATACACTGTTCCTCCTTCAAGCACTTAGACTTCATTATCAAAAGCTAACAAAGCAACTAAATAAAATGGCTGAAACATAATTTAGTAATAGTCTTCTTCTAAATATCCCAGAAGTGTAAAGTGTTATATCTGGAAATGTTCGTTGAAACACTAGGTGTTCTAAGGATATGGTGGGTGAAAAAGACACAATCTCTACCTGAAAGACTGTAAAGGTATAGTTACTGGAGAATGAGAGGGTGTGAAGAAGCTGGCCTGTAGACAAATTACAATATGATCAGTAATGCTGTAATAGAATGACAAAGGGAAGAGTAGGAATTTCTGCAAGGCAGAGCCAGGTTGCAATTAAGAGTTTTATTCTACAAAAGCTTATACAAAATAATGATATTTGAGCATGGACTTGGAAACTACAAAGAAAAAGAACCTTCAGCCGGAAGTCACAGCATGAGAAAAAGGCATGACATGAAATCTTTCTGATGTCTTTTTGTGAAGACGCAATGGTAAATGAGAAAGGAAGAAAGGTGTTTAGTAATTTGGTGTGACAGACCTTGACTATAGGACTAATGAGTTAGTATCTGTTGTTTAAGTAATTGGGAGTTACCTCACTCTATTTCTGATACTTCCAAAGAAGCTGCAAAGGTGACTGTAATGTAGAAAATAAGTAGATAATGCCGAAATCTTTGCATAACCAGATATTGCATGCTCATCTCTAGAATATGTACTGAAGAACTGTGAACATAGAAGATAACTTCTAGAACCAGGCATATTCAGCATTTGCTGGATGTCCTCTGCTTCTGCACGGCGAAAATAACGTTTTTGAGGCTTATTTCCAAGTAGAAAGGAAAGATAATAAAATTCCTTTCATACTACACTAGACAAGGGAATGAAACTAAAACTAATGGAAAAATATTAGGATTTTTACTCAAATCAGCTGCATGAACAATTAAAATTTTACTAATACTGTCCAATACCATGGATTTCTTCAGGTAGCAATGAGAACTCCATCCCAAGATACGGACAGAGGATGGAATGATAATTTTCAAAAATATTTTAAAGGAGATTCAGGTGTCAAATTGTGACTTGAACTAGGTGACCTTCTAAGCCCTACCTGATGTTACAATTCTGTTTTAATTTATGTATTATCAAAGACTATTCAGATAAAAAAAAAAAACACGTCTCCCAGGTGCTGGAAACAAAAAGATAAATATGACACAGTCTGAGTGTTTTAAAATATTACTAAACTCTACAATGTTATTTCTGATTGTTCATACATAGGCAGGTGCATAGCTAAGTTGCTTGGCTTATCCAGCTATTTGCCAGGATGATGGGTCACTGTGGTCACCACACAGAAATCAATTCTTTCTTCGTTGTTCATTCCAGTGCCAGCTCCAAGATACACAGTAGAACTGGCTTGTGGTTTTGGAGCCACAGTCCTGCTAGTGGTGATTCTCATTGTTGTCTACCATGTTTACTGGCTAGAGATGGTCCTATTTTACCGGGCTCATTTTGGAACAGATGAAACCATTTTAGGTAAGTAACAGAAATATGACATAAACCTCTTCTGTCATCTTTAGAAAATATGTCGGGAAAAAAAAAACATGTTGACTTGATAAAACCTAGATTAACTGGAAGATTTAAGCAGATTACCTTTAATTTCAGCCCTTGCTATTAAAAATCTTTCTGAAGATTATTATTCTCTTTTCTTGGATTAATAAGTGAGTCATTATAAATTAGCACTGTCCAAATAGAAATATAGTTCAAGCCACTTATCTAACTTAACATTACCCAGTGACCACTTTAGTAAAAGTAAAAAGAAACAAGCAAAAATAATGAACTGAGTAAATATATTTATGATACTATTTTTAGCATGCAATTAATATTAAAAAGTTAATGAGATATTTTAGAACTTTTTGGTTCTAAAAATATTCAAAATTTAAAATGTATTCTATTTTTTCCTTATTGCACATATCAATTCAAACCAGGCACATTTTAAGTGAGCAATAGACACGTGGCTCATGGCTGATGTGTTGGACAGTGCTGATCCACACTCCTTGTACTCAGATGGTGATCTGTGAACCAGCAGCAACATCACTTGTAACTTATTAGAAGAAGTGATTCGTGTGCACATTAACATTTAAAAAGCACGGGTCTCATGCATATTTCCCTAGAGAAAAAAATAGAATATTTAAACATATGAATTCGTAGTCCACCCCGTAAAGATTTTTTAGTTAGGCTTATGGAAGAAACACAGAATCAATGGTTTTTAATGATATGTGATTTTTATAATTAAGCAACTTTGTGAAAGATCGGTCCATTAAATCTAATTATATTTTTAATTTTAGTTCTTTTCAGGTATAAATAATTCAGGCAGTTTCACAAAGTTTTGCTCAGTTTGTAATTTTAACATATTAATGAGTGATATTCTAGGATGGGAAGCTGAAATTTTCTGCAGAGTATCAATTGCCAGCATCTATGTTTTACCTTCTGGCTTTGTTAATTTAAAGTTGAATGGGGCAAACTTCACTCTTTTTCCACTATAAAGCAGCCTGTAAGATGAGAGTTGAGGATACATCACAGAACATTCAAAATTACATCTTCGAATAGTCGTTTTGCCTGGAGGCTTGTTGCAAGTAGAAAATTGTACTGGAATCTGTCACTTAATGAAGATGTCTATATGCAGAAGTTAGATTTCAGAGAAAAATGTAATGGTATTATGTAATTTTCCTAATCTATATTGTATCTGTGTTCCTTTTGCTAGATGGGAAGGAGTATGATATTTATGTATCCTATGCAAGGAATGCTGAAGAAGAAGAATTTGTATTACTGACCCTCCGTGGAGTTTTGGAGAATGAATTTGGATACAAGCTGTGCATCTTTGACCGAGACAGTCTGCCTGGGGGAAGTAGGTATTTCAGATGAGTACAAATGATACTACCTTGAAAGGCAGAGAGAATCATTAGTTTTGCTTTATGGGTGAGAGTCATGGTACAGCATCTTTGGATATTTAATGTCAGATGCTTTTTGATGTAACAGACTCCTCGAGAAATAAAACTGCATTAGAAGATGTGTACTATTCAACTCAGTTTATGGTATTAAAATATTTTCCCTTGTAATCTTTCAGAGCTGCATATCAGAAAAGTGTGGAGGCACAATGGATTAGAGTTCTATTAAAGAGCCATGGCTTTAAACATCCTATTTATTCACATTTAGATTTTTGGGTTTAGGCTAATCTACATTGGTTTGTCTAGAATTGTTTTACAAGACTGAGTAATTTAAAAAAAATGGGTTGGTTTTGTTTTTAGGAAAACGGGTTTACTTGGCTTTACTAAAACTGAGTAACAAAAGATTGTGCATAGAATTTGTCCTTATGTCATTCACTCTTAATAATTACAATATTTTCCTAAGGCATTTGCTCTTTTTTCCCCTCTCACTTTTCTTTTCAAGTGAAGTAGTGCTACTCAAATTCCCCCTTTCTTTGGTTCTGTTTCTTCTTCCTGTCAACTTATACATTTGAGGGTGACTTAAAAATGTCGTAAGAACCAGTGTAAGTAGGAGGTTAAAAAAAATAGAAATGCTTAAATTGCTGAATGTGTTAAAATAAAAGTACAACTCCTTTTTAGATCCATACAGGGACACACAAAGTAGTTTTTCATCGGTGTCTTTTAATAAACATATAAATTATATTCCCAAACCCACTGTTAAACTTTGTCCTGTTGAAATGCATGTAATATAACTAATCATAAGCATGAAAAAACAATTTATTCCTCAAATACTGTTTACATTTAGAATTTGACAAATTTTAAAAATATTGCATGGATAATTGAGATAAACTTGAAATTTTATTCTCATTCTGAATTAGTTGGATCAGTGATTTTATCTCCCCAATCATCATCCAAAAGTCCATTGTAAGACATCTCTTTCAGTGTAATTTTTCTAGGAATTTATGACTTAATTATACATTTAAAGGATAAATTCCACTCATTTTAATACTTAATTTCCCCAATCATTTATTCACCCATTTATTTGTTCATACTGCCATTCAGCAAATACTTGTCTACCATGGAACTGGGTAAGACCCTCCAGTAGGGGGTGGTAATTCTTTGAAGAATTCAAGTTCTGCAGAATTACTCTCCCATCTTGTTTTTGTTAGTTCGCTTTTGCATCCAGTTTTTATTCTTCCCACTGCCCTTAGCCACTCCTCTTTGACTCTTGAGTCTCTTTCTATGCTTGCACATGCTTAGCCTCCAGTGCCACTGCTTAAAGCAGACAATCATTCCTGGATTCTCCTCCAGGCTGTGCATGCTAGATTTTAATCGCAAGTCTTTCTCTACTATATCTGAACCTGTGAACATTAAGGGGCAAAATGACTTCATAGGGCAGTATAGTCAGCCATGATGTAAGTTTCCACAGCACTACTAAGTTACCTAGAGTTGGCAGCCATCTGAACCACAGGTAAAGGACTATGCAATCCTTGATAAACAACTGTGAGGAGATGGATTGGTTCCAAGAATTTAGTGACAGGAATTAATCAGAGCCCTTGACAGCAGAATAAAATTACATTGCTTTTCCGTTTCTCCTGCTTTTTCATTTTTTTTCCTCGAAGAGAGCATTTGCCTGTTGGTGAAAGCAGACACGTCTTCTAGCAGCTGCTGAGACACATGGCTGTATAGTAACAATAGGAGCTTGAGGAGAAAGATCGAGGGATTAATTTAGGCTCCATTGCAGACAGAAGTAGAAAGCCGACCTGAGAATGTGTTACCAGCCAAAATGCCATTCAGTAGCTAGATATTTTTTTAAGTTTCTACTGCAACAACATAGTGATATTAGAGTCAGGGGTATCCAACAATAGAGAGGGACTCTCAGAAGATGGAGGTCCCTACCTTTGTTGTTTTGTCCTAGCAAAAAATAAAATTCTATTATTTTAATTATGTAATATATATATTTTTGAGTGTCTGTTGGTACTAGAGAGTTTATGCATGGGTTTCTTTGGAAAACATAGGGCCCATGAGCTGATGTGACTGGACTATAAGATGCTACACACTTTGAAGAAACTGATTTCAGTATAACACATCTATTTCTTCTGTCTCAAGTATCGTTTTTGAAGATCGAGGTGTCATAACAATGCACTACCTTTGGCTTCATGTCTGTTTGGAATTCTTTTTGGAAATATGTGTTTATAGTTTCTGTTTTTCCTGAAGACAGTGGTATTCAATGAACAGAGTTTCTAGGTATAAGGATTAAGTTGTTCAAACTGTTGCTGGCAAAAAGTTTCATCTCAATTCTCAGGCTAAGTTCACCCTAAGTTCCTTTCATTTGCTTCTCGGGCTAAGTTTACCGTAAGTTCCCTTCATTTGCTCCTCAAGCCCCATGCTTTTGGGGAGTTTCTGGCCAACACTAATCCCCATGGTTGTTTTCTTTCCCAGTTGTCACAGATGAGACCTTGAGCTTCATTCAGAAAAGCAGACGCCTCCTGGTTGTTCTAAGCCCCAACTACGTGCTCCAGGGAACCCAAGCCCTCCTGGAGCTCAAGGCTGGCCTAGAAAATATGGCCTCTCGGGGCAACATCAACGTCATTTTAGTACAGTACAAAGCTGTGAAGGAAACGAAGGTGAAAGAGCTGAAGAGGGCTAAGACGGTGCTCACGGTCATTAAATGGAAAGGGGAAAAATCCAAGTATCCACAGGGCAGGTTCTGGAAGCAGCTGCAGGTGGCCATGCCAGTGAAGAGAAGTCCCAGGCGGTCTAGCAGTGACGAGCAGGGTCTCTCATATTCATCTTTGAAAAATGTATGAAAGGAATAAGGAAAAGGGTAAAAAGAACAAGGGGTACTCCAGAAAGAAAGAGTTCCCCCATTCTTCATTCACAGTTTATGGTTTTATAGGCAAAAAATAATGGTCTAAACCTCCCTATAGAGATAAATTCAGGGCGACTGTGTGGCTGACTATTCTGCTTCCTCAGGCGAAACTAAAGTTTAGAATGATATTATCAACAGTCTGTCACCAGTCTCTCTGATGCCACTATGTTCTTCGCAGGCAAAGACTTGTTCAATGCGAATTTCCCCTTCTACATTGACTGTCCCTGTTTTTATGTCGCCATTCTTTTTAAAATCTTAACATATGGGGCAGCCTCTCCTATGAATTTAAAGATGCCTTTAAAATAAGTCACTGTTGACAGGGTCATGAGTTTCCGAGTACAGTTTTCTTTTTATCTTATTTTTACTTGTCCATTGAAAATATAATCACCACCTACATTTTAGCTGAGGATAATGAACTTTTTTGCTCATTCGGCTGTACAATACATAACCATAGCAAGACTGGTACCTACTTAGAATGATACAAAGCATTCTAAGTATACAAAGTATACTTAGCATACAAAGTATACAAAGCATACAAAGTAACTGAAAATGTTTCTTTTAATTGATTTAAAGGGCTTTTCTTCTACTATAACACCCTTGCCCTCTTCTCAGGTAATCGATGTAATATATGTAAACTTGAAAAATATTGCTTAATTTTTGTTTTTGCTCCAGTCAATTCCTGATTCTCCGCAGGTCAACCCACATTTTTCATTCCTTCTCCCTATCTGCTTATATCGCATTGGTCATTTAGAGTTTGCAGGTGGCTCCATACTTGGTTCAGTCTGAAAGAAAACTCCTAATGGTGCTATAGAGAGGGAGGTAACGGCAAAAGTCTTTTAGGGCATTTTTCTGACTCTCGAAAAGAACACAGAAAAGGATGTTCGGCAAGTTGTCTTTTAAGTCTTAGCCTTGCTAATGTGAATACCAGGAAAGTAATGTTTCCTCACTTGTTTTTGGTGCTCCATTGTAAAGTGTGGAGGTCAGACTTAGTGACCTTGAGAGTTGCATTTGACATGAATATTCTAAGAGAATTAACTGTATTTCCTGTAATCTATTCACTAGTGCAGGAAATATACTTGCTCCAGATAAGTCAGTATGAGAAGTCACTGTCAATGCATGTTGTTTTGTTTGTTTTCAGTAATATTTTGCTGTTTTTAAGACTTGGAAAACTAAGAGCAGAGTTTACAGAGTGGTAAATATCTATGTTACATGTAGATTATACATATATATACATACACATGTATATATGAGATATATATCTTATATCTTCACAAACACAAATTATATATATACATATATCTCCACACACATACATTACATATATGTGTGAATATAAATCCATGTGCACATGAATTATATGTATGCATATTTGTGTGTGTGTATATGTATATGTATATGACTTTAAATAGCCATTGGTACAATATTAAAAACCACAGGAATCTTGTCCAGTTTTTAAATTATGTTTTTACTGTAATGCTTTTGTGTCTGTGTTTTCTGTACATATTATTTGTTAATTCACAGCTCACAGAGTAGTAGTTGTCATAGTTCTTGTCTTGCCTAAGTTTAAATAAATAACTATTGCTACAGTTTTTCTGGGTGCAGTGGAATCTGCTATGCACAGAGCTTCCATGGTCACTGCTAAGCAGTAACCAGCCATCAGGCATTAATTGATTTCCTGCTATATTCCCAGCAGACACATTTAGAAACTAAGCTATGTTAATCTCAGTGCTCCACTATTTGCACTGTTGAGTGATAAAGGAAACAAATATGCCTGTCAATGAGTCTTTGTATCCTGTGAAACACAATAATTCATAATTTAAGAAAGCCCTCATCCCAGTAGCATGAATGTTGATGAGCAAATCTAAAATTATATTCTATATTTAAGTGCCCTTCATCACTATTAAAGTCCATAATAAATCATTTCCCTATATAAGTGTTATTGATTATTTTAAATTGAAAAAAGCTTTGCTTGGATGAGAACAGTGGAAATGTAGATCATTCTTGGATCTACTTTTTTAAGCCTTATTAACGTTTTTCTTATTAGAAACCTCAATGACTCCCTCTATTAACCTTTCACTTGCTAGACCAGAAAAGAGCTTATTCCAGATAAGCTTTGAATATCAATTCTTACATAAGCTTTAGGCAAACAGGGAATTGTCTAATCACCAAAGGACCATTCTCTTGCCAATGCTGCATTCCTTTTGCACTTTTGGATTCGATATTTTTCTTAAACACTGTTGGGCACCCCTAGAAATGCCTTGATGTTTTTTCTATTTATATTCCTGCCTTTGGTACTTAATTTTTACAGATGTTATAATATAAAACATATCGAGTTTAAGTGATATGTATCATTGCAAGAGAATTTGTTTCAAGAATTTTTTTTTTATGTTCCAGAATATGCCCAGTAGAGAACATTTGAGGGAAATGGGGAAACATAAATGTAATTTAGAGAACAAGAACAAAGCATGTAACAAATTTGTTTAATGGTTTTAGACATATGCTATAGGGACCTTTCATGCCCAGGTTAACAAAGAACTGTGATATATAGAGTGTCTAATTACAAAATCACATAAAATTTATTTAATTCTCTTCTGTATTGTAACTTAGATAATTCCCAAGGATTCTAATAAAAAATCACTCCATTGTATTGGGAAGCAAAAACATCATTCATTAATTACTTATTTTCTTTCCATAGGTTTTAATATTTTGAGATTATCTTTTTTATTTCATTCACAAACTTTTGTATTTTTCATTTTTCATTTGATTTGTAAATTTATGTATGTTAAAAATAAACCATTTATTTTCAGCTTTGAATTTTATTTTGTGCATGTGTTTCATGTCTTTATTTTCACATTTGGTCATAAATGAAAACAAAGAATTGATTACTTATAAAGAAATGTAATAATTTACATTAGTTAAGTTTCTTTCTGAGATAAATCTGAGAAAAATGGAAACTTCATGTCAAGAACATTTTCTTTACATGTAAGTAAAAGTTACTTCAGTAAAATGGATTGCTTTAGAATACTAGGACATATTTTACGGATGTATATGTGTTTATGTTTGTGTGTGTGTGTGTGTGTGTGTGTGTGTGTGTGTGTGTGTGTGCAGAGAGACAGAAAAACCATCAGAAAGATGGAGAGATATAGAGAGACAGAGAAACGGGAGAAAGAGATTATTTTAAAACAAAGAAAAACAAGCTTATTCCTTTACATTCAACTTGGAACTTAGTTAGCTTACAGGAATCTTTAACATCTAATAGACTTTAATGCAACCCCACAGTAGTTGCTTTGGAAATAGATAAAATAAAAGCAATGCCATGAGTTTAGTTAATTGATGATCATTTGAATCAAAGATGCATTTCTGTCACAACTTTTGAATAAATCAGTTATGAATATTTGGAAACCTATTTGAGTTAATAATTCCGTAGTGGCAGAGATGCCTTTTTGCTTTAAAAAAAAAAATCCTATTTGTTCATTTGTTCAAAGAATATTTATTGAGATCTATAGCATGCTCAGAATTGGTTAGCTTAGTAAAAATTTTTCTACTGAAGAATTAATTTTCTTCTTGCAAACCAGTCCCAAAGGTATAGGCTTAGGATCAATGGATGGAAGTTACAAGGAAACAGATTTCTACTCAGTTAGAAAATAGCTGTAAAGCAGAGTTCAACACAAATGGAATTCACTGTCTTTGGAAACTAGGTCTGCCATTACCAGAAGTATACAAGCAGTTATTTGATAGATTTTCATTGAGATTTTGTATATGAGTTTTTTGCTTTGGATAAGTGGTTTTCAGTCTGAAGTTGTTTCCAACTCTGAGCATGTTAAGTGGCCTAGAACATACTGGTGACTCTTTGGCAGATTCAGTTTCAGCATTTTGCACATTATCTACTCAGCTGTGATTAATCTTCCTAAAACTCTCAAAATATTTTTTTCCATCATATGCTGATGTTAACAGCTCTTTAACGCAAGTAAATGCACAGTATTGTATGAGAGACACATTTAGCAACTGGTCTATCTTATTTCTCTGTTTCTACCCAAAGAACATAAAGTAACCTTAGCAATGGGTTAAGAGATGGAGTGTTTTAACATTAATTTTAATCTACAGCTATTTGAAACTGATTAGACAGAAATTTTACACCTTATTACTCTTATAAATCCACATATTAAGATGATATTTTAGTTAGCATTAATAATTAATACAGATTCAACAAACATTACTCCATATATTATTTTACTATTGTGTTCACTGCGCATTGAGCAATAATAATTTAATCAAAGCGATTTATGCAAATATCTACTGCATTAGAAATTTACATATAGGCATCTAATTTGTTTATCAGCCCTACAAGTTTGCTCTAATCATATGCATTTTATAGACGGATGAACTAAGACTCAAAATGTATTAATATAAAAACAGAGATAAATGGAGAAAGCAATATGTGAAACCACATCCATCTTCCAGTTAAGTATTCCCTTTCTTCTATACTTCAAGTTTTAAGAGAGAAAATGAAAGAGACAGAGGTTTGCTTTTCTTTTATTTACTAATAACTCAGCCAAGGGAAAATAAAATTACAGTCCTAGTTTTCTTCTAAGTGAGCTCCATGGAAATTATGATTTTACAGGCAAGAATATTTTTGTGTATTGATGAGTTCTCAATCATACAACATAACTTCAAACCCAATTTCGTAACACAAGAAAACTAATCTCATTATTATATGGCCATACCTCATTTTTTTAAATTAATCGGAATAAAAGAGTTAAATTACTACTTCTCCAAGTAAACCTTAGCATTAAAAAATAATAACCCCTATCCTCAAATATGAAGTTTTAACAAAATAGAAGATATTAAGAAGAATATGCCATAAAGCATGCAACTTCTTTTACAGTATCAAGTGAAGATCCCTCCGTATAGCCCAAGACTTTTCTAAGAAGCATCTTCTACATTTGTTCCTCCGTGTCTAAAATTCCACCACTCATAACTGCATTTAGCATTGTCCTCTTTCAAATCTAAACGTTCTTACTTTCTGGACAGAGTACCAATAGAAAAAATAAAAGAACAACAGACTCAGAAGACATTTTTTAAGATCTGGAACAGTGCTGTATTTTAAAAGATGATATTCCTATTGGCAAAAATATACATTTTCCTAAGGTGACTATTTTGAAGTGAAACACACACACACACACACACACACACACAGTTTGCATCAATTTTCTTTGTTGACAAGCTAGCCATGTTGCCTTAAGGTTATTTCCCATTTCTCATGAGCCGAGAGAAGCAGTAGACTTCCCACTTTCATATTCTCTGACTTAATGAGAGGCAGCCTCATAAGATTCTGAGTAGGACTGGAGGGGGCTGAGGAGTTACTGAAACACATGAACACGTGCACAGACTCATACACACACAAGGGTTTTAATAATAAGTGAGAATTTATCTCTTAAGAATGAAAAAAACATCTCTTAAAAACATTTTTTCATTCTTGGTTAAACCAATCAAAATTTCTCAAAACTTGAGCACATGTCTCTCCAATTTCCCTTCAAATTCAATAGGTCTTTCTTAAAACAGACAGGCAGGCAGACAGACAGACAGACAGACAGACACACGCACACACACACACACACACACACACACACACACACACACACAGAGTGGGCAATTAACTACCCTAAAAATATTAGCCACCCTCAAAAGCAAGTCATCTCAGCTCTGTTTACAAATTATTTCTCGTTTTGAAATCTTGTTAAATCCACTGATTGCAAAAATAAAAATAAAAAACCACACAATAATCTGTAAGAAGCACAGCTCCCTCATTCCCTGTCAAGTTCACAATGATCAATGCAAACTTTCAGTCTGTCTCCACAGGCTGAAAAGTCTCTCCATTACTGTTTCATCCCTGGACCAAAAGCAGAGGTGTTCACCCTCACAGTGTGTCTCTGGCACATGTTTCAAAGTTATCAATGGCTATGCTTTACAATTTTGAATTTTTTTCCTTCATAACATGGCATGTTCCAAGCTCCTGAATCTCAGAGCGAGTTAAGCATCATATTTATTTGAAGAACTTACCCTTGAGAATCTGTCCAAATCCACCTTGGTAACATTACAAGTAAATGGTTTGCCAGAAGTCTTCACTACTTGACGAATTCTTACCCATTGCCATTGTTTTTGTCCCTTTAATGCCAATTCTTCACACACACACACACACACCCCCGCACACACACACACACACACACACACACACACACAGAGAGAGAGAGAGAGAGAATTTAATTGACAAGATAAATACTACGAACGACTATGAATGGTCTGATGTTGTGTCCAAAAATGTAAAGTATTAAGGGATATAACTAAACATCTTAGGAGGTGGCAATTCCTACGGTTCTTTGTTGATCAGACTATGTCAGCAGCATTATGTTCACTCCTGTTCATAATGCTACTCTTGGGAGACACATCTATACACTGAACATTATCCAGAGGGAAAGGGTAAAAGTGTGAAGGAGACATGAGACCATGTCATTTATGGAATAAGAAAAATACCCTGAATATATTTAATCCAGACATAAGAAGAAAATACGGTGACATAAAAATAGTTGTCAGATATTTTAAATGTTTAAAGATGCAAGATCTGACCACCAGATAAAAGTTGCACAAGGAAGAAGGGTTCAAAACAAATAATTTGTAAACAGAGCTGAGATGACTTGCTTTTGAGGGTGGCTAATATTTTCAGGGGAGTTACTTAATTGCCCACTGTGTGTGTGTCTGTGTGTGTGTTTTAAGAAAGACCTATTCAAGAAGGAGACTACTGCAATGTGAGCTCAACTAACATCCTTGAAGTTTGTAAATTCAACCATTGGTAAGAGTGGTGTAGATTTTTTGACTGGGTAAATTATTCAGCACTGAGATCCTGTAATCTCAAGTGTTTGTTTATTGCCTGTTCCCTGGAGGATAGAAAATAATGAACTGGAATATATATGTTTTTATTATACATTATCCTATCTTTCCATTTTCCTATAGATACAGTGGAAGCAGTTTTTGATTTCATTCAGAGAAGCAGAAGGATGATTGTTGTCCTGAGCCCTGACTATGTGACAGAAAAGAGCATCAGCATGCTGGAGTTTAAACTGGGTGTCATGTGCCAGAATTCCATTGCCACCAAGCTCATTGTGGTTGAGTACCGTCCCCTTGAGCATCCGCACCCAGGCATTCTTCAGCTTAAGGAGTCTGTGTCTTTTGTGAGCTGGAAGGGAGAAAAGTCCAAACATTCTGGCTCTAAATTCTGGAAAGCTTTGCGGTTGGCTCTTCCCCTGAGAAGTCTGAGTGCCAGTTCTGGCTGGAATGAGAGCTGCTCTTCCCAGTCTGACATCAGTCTGGACCACGTTCAAAGGAGGAGAAGTCGTTTGAAAGAGCCCCCAGAACTTCAGAGCTCAGAAAGGGCTGCAGGTACCCCTCCGGCCCCAGGCACAATGTCCAAAGACCGAGGGAAGTCCTCTGCCACCTGCCGCTGTTGTGTCACCTACTGTGAAGGAGAGAATCACCTTAGGAACAAGAGCCGGGCAGAGATTCATAACCAGCCCCAGTGGGAGACACACCTCTGTAAGCCTGTTCCCCAAGAGTCAGAAACTCAGTGGATACAAAATGGCACCAGATTGGAACCCCCTGCTCCCCAGATCTCAGCCCTTGCTCTTCACCATTTCACGGACTTATCCAATAACAATGACTTTTACATCCTATAATTACTGTGTGTGGTGGGTGGTGGCTACTCTCTCTACCAACCCTCTGTATGTCATGAACCTGTGGGAAAACCTGACATTTTTATCATC